CGCCCACATGTCGATTCGACCATCGGCTATATGTGGAGTGCAAATTTCTTGCAGCTCATTCTCGCATTCACATGCAAACGAATAATCCATATTCCGTTTCAGATGGTTGTTCAATTTTTTTTTTATCTAACCAAGTAGTGAAACAGCCAATACGATCGTCGTCGAATGAGAAACGAGGTGACCGTTTCGACACGGAGCAACTCGTTTGAAATCTCGCAGTAAATTCGTTTCTCCAACATCTGCGCTGCGATGATTGGATGGCGGATTGTTCGATAAAGTGGCGATCGGCGTTAGCATCCAACTCGGGTGCAGGACGAATGAAACCGAGAGAGGATAGCAAAAGGATGACTTTCTCTTTCGCGGTTTGTTCGCGCTGAAATAGAGCGGTTTTGTTCTTACGAAGGCTAGTTAAAATGCAGATTCTATCAATCACTTCGAATGAAGACATACCTCGCGTGCATCGTGGCTGACGCGCGTGCGGCTTTTATATCAAATTGTCTTCAAAGGAAATAGAATTTTAACGAAATTGAAAAGTATCAATAAAGAACGGTGTCGATACAGACGACGCCACAGTTTCCTCTGATCAATTTTCTCAGTATTACGCGGATTTAATACAGGAATGTAATAAAGAATATATTATGTATAGCTGGCGTACAAAATTCATTATTATATATTTGATGAATAAATATTTAGTTGTTACAAGATGTTCTATTAGTACATTTCGCGAATGTGAATATCATAATAATTGTTGGGTAAATATTTAGTGAATATAACAAAAAGTGATTCATTGATATGCGAATAAAATTCATCATAATGTCTAATGAATAAAACAGAAAGCTATATTTCTGGCAAGTTATAATCCATACGATGCCGCATCTGCTTATCGACTCCGCAGCTGCTCGCCATTTCCCATGGATGTTCCGTATAACGTGGCGCATTTGTTTATCGCTTTCACGAACGACATTTTAATTTTCCAACCATTTGTAATAGAGGTCGTTACGAATTTGTGCTGCGAGATGTAGATTCAATTAGATACTTATATATATATATATATATATATATATATAGCGATTGGTCGGAATTCACTCGGACGCGCGTTACATCGAACGCGTTTCGAACAGTTGCCATAGTACTCTTATTATTGATTCGATTCCTTTCCTTATAGGAATCTCCTATTATTCACGCTAATGGATATTTTTTAAATTAACTGAAAAAAGAGTATTAGATTGTGGTGATTTAAAAAATTAACGTATGTTGGCGAGATCACTTTTTTTTACGAGCTTAAAAAACGGGAGAAAAAGCAGCTCATCGCCGTTACGACATGCACACTAGACAATTTTACTCGTAGATCCTAACACTAAAAGGGACTTTAGTTTTTCGAGCAACTACATAAAAACCATTTTATTTCGAATACGTGTGAGGTGCTTTTCACACGTTTTTATTTGATATTTAAATATACACGAAAAAGTACTTTTTTTATACAAAAATTTGCGAGATTTTTTTGGTACCATTTTGAACCTTACATCTATATTTATGAAACACACTCGCGCACATCGTTTCATGATTTTAACCGTCACACTAGTTTTTGTGAGTGAACTTACGGACAATACTAGATGTAGATAGCCGTTACTGTTTATAGTCCTTTAATATGGCTCGTAACTGGGGGGTGCCAGTCCCAGAGGTATACACGGAAGTGTCGTCACACTTGTTATTTCCCACCGGAAACACAGCATGCGCGTGTATATAGCTGTACAACGTTGTCACACTATTAATCCTTTTAGGATTAGGGTTTACGATATATGTCATATATCGTACGTAGTCTGACAACTAAGTTTGTATAGATGAAACTTATTTATATTCAAATACACAACTCGTATGTTCATATTAAACGTTATCTTTTTCGAAATACGAATCCTTTCGTCTGTATATCTATTTCGGTGAGAATTTTAGCATTACAAGTATTTTTTGTGTATACTCTCTAGTTGCGTATTATAAGTATTTTTAGTATATTCTCTAATTGAATGTTAGTAATAATCAGAATTTTATTGAAATGTTTCTTCAATTTATAACACTATTTAGAAACAATACGCGCTATTTTTTTTTGTAAATACTTTTTAATAATATTGTATCTAGAAACAAATGTTAACTTCACACAATAATGCGATTATCATATCGCATGAATATCTGCAGGTATTGACCTGAATTCTCCATGCATGAAAAAAATATATGTACAAACTAGCATGACATATATTTCAAGAAAATCCATAAATTATGAATAACGGGATGCATTGGAACATTAGGAAAAACTCTGAATTTGTGAAAAAAAATTCTGTCCGTTATGATAAAATGGCCTGTATATCACCTCTGGCTAGCGACGTCATGAAATTCTCTGGATAACCACCGGAGAATTTCATTTTGTCAAATAAAACTTGTCCGTGGACAGTTTTGCCGGACATAGAAGTGAGTAGAGGAAAACCGCAGGAATTCCGTTATTAATCTTTTTCAGAGACATGGAATGCGTTTTTTAAATCGCGCTACGCGCTATTTTCAAATATGTTGTGCATTTCCGTGATAGCATATTTTCAACTTAGCTCAAATTCTATTAAAATAAAAGTTGAACTTAACACCTACCATTCTCTTCACAGCACCTTCCTTCTTAGTTTGTAAATAAAACGTTTGCTTAACTATTAATTAAAATAAATAAAATTCCACAAGATAGAAGAAACATTGAGACGAATTTTCTGTAGTATTGCACAACAACACGTGTTTACAAATTGATAGCAAAGTTAGAAAGTGTCGTTGCAAAATTGATCGCAGATGTTTACGTATTCATATATCCTAAGAGTGCGCGGTTAATATTTTCATTTGACTTCCGAATTTATCTACATGAAAAACTTGAACGGATAAATTTGTTTTTCGAAACTCTTCAATGAACCGTGCGAAACTTGCTCATACTCGAATTCGCTTTGCGATGCGGTTAAATTGGTTGGAAATGTAACTCCCTCGAAGAGCAAATCTCCTTCGAGACTCTCGAGATTTCAAAAACGATCTTGTTACTTCTTTAATTATAGTTTTTGCGATAAAATTAAGGATTCTAATCATTTACCTTCACTTCAATTTGAAATAATGAAATCTATATATATATACATATATAAAAATTTTAAGTTTTCTTTCTATATTTTATTTTATCTAGTTTTATTTCTTTCTTCGTACTCTATTTTTTGTAAGAAATATCTTTTAATATACATATATAGGTATATTTATATATATATACATGCATAAATCTAATGACTTGATGAAATAAAAAAGATCAATGCTTTTGTGTTGAAAAAAAGAATTTTTTCTGCAAGAAAAAAACATTCGACCTTCTATACAAAATACATAAGTTATTGTTTGGTTTATTTTGGAATATACATATATTTTATAATGTATGTATGTGTATACAAATCTATAATCTTTTAATTAATATTATATAACCAATATTGATGATGATGATGATGATGATGATTATAATGGTAAATAGTATATATGTTAGTAATTATTTCAACTGTGTATTTCATCAGGACGGAAATATTGCTTAAAGTATACCACGAATTTGCTTATTATCTTGCTATTCTTCAAACCTTAAGTTTTAGTACGACGATGAACGAAAGGGCAACGAACAAAATTGAAACAGAAAGATAAATCGGACTTCAAAGTATCTTTTCAACTCGCGGAAAGCAGCGCAAATACGATGAGCATGATATAGGAGTGAAGGAGAAAATGGTAAATTGGCGCTGAGATAGAAGTAGTATTAATTTCTCCGAAGCACGAAGATTCTGCCACATCTACCTCTGTCTACTCCGAAATCTTATTCTTTTCTTTGTTCACTTCATAACGTCTGCAATAATGCAGCCAGTTTTACTAGACTCGAGAGAGGCGAAACTGTCTTTTATTAAACTCTAAACATTCACAGAGAAAGTAAATTCTTGATTGTCAAGGAATTAAAAATATATATATACAAATACTGAATTAGTAGTCTAACACAATTAAATATGTAAACATATCTTCCTCAATTAACATGGAAAGTTAATTAATTAGAAAATACGATAAAATATAATTAATCTCTCATTGTAAATATATAAATACATTTTGTGTTTCGATAACGTGTAAATAATGTTTTAATTGTTAATATTTCCGCGGGTACTTTTTATATAGAAGTTATGCATTTCACGTATTATCTCAGTATCCAGATCCATTATTATATATCAACATTTCGTGAATATTGCAATTTACTTCATCAGGACGAGGCAGCCTGATATGTTTTAATTGTTTTTTAACAAAAATCTTTTTAACTGAAAATATTAAATAATATTTGCAAAAATGTCGATAAATTATTTGGTATTCCAAATCTTTCAGATATTTATTTAATTTTATAATTGTCATCACGCAAAGTAATATCTCAAATATATAATTTTATCATTTATCTATTAATTCTGATCTAGATTTTATTACTAAACAATTAATGATCATATTATAGTAGTACAATTTAATATACTCTAAGAAAAAGACTTATAAAAACAATTCAAATATCAACGATCAAATATACGAGAGCAATACAAGATGTTTTATTAAAATCTTAAAATTAATTTAACATACCATTAAAAAGAATATAACAATAGACGTTTCGACTCACAGCAGAGTCTTCCTCAATATAATAAAATAAACCTATCTATTTCGTTTAACAATATTGCAAATCAAGAATAATTTGTCCATGTCAATTGATGATTATTGATGGTGAACCGTCTGTTATTATATTCTTTTTAATGGTATGTTAAATTAATTTTAAGATTTTAATAAATCTTGTATTGCTCGTATATTTAGTCGTTGATATTTGAATTGTTTTGCTGTGCAAACTTCGAGCGTTATTTATTTATATCATTATTACACATTGTTACACATTGTGTATTATTATTAGACAAAGGACATATACATATATATGTTTTCTCTTTATTTTGTAGGCGCGGTAGGCGGCGAAGGAGGTGACGAGGATGACAAGGAGAAGGAAGAGGAGGCCGAGAGAGAGAGGCAAGAGGCTATCAGGGAAGCCGAAGAACGAAGAAAGGAGAAACATCGCAAAATGGAAGAAGAACGAGAGAAGATGCGGCAAGAGATCAGAGATAAGGTCAGCAATAATGATTTTGCTTTTGCGTTTTTATTTAAAAAGTTTTTGCATTTCTTTGGAATTGACTAATAAGTTCGATTTTCATATATTCATGATCTTTATCTTATCGTTAAAACTTGTTATTAGCGTCGTGATTGTAGAATTTAATACTATTTACATATCAAAATTGCTACTGCTCGATTTTGTCGTTTAAATCATTTCAAAGGAATATAATGTTACAAAAAATATTATCCATTAAATATTGGATCGGAGAAAAAGTTTCTTCGAATTAAAAAAAATTTTTTTGCAAAAGTTTTTCATTTGTTGCGAAATTTTCGTTACAATTATATCATTCGCTAGAGCAAAGTTTCAGCTTTAAGAATCTGTTTTTTTTAACTCCGGTATGATGATTTTATCAGAGTCGAAAGTTTTCGTAAATTTTTTTTGAACACGTGAGAGACCCTCAAAGTGAAAAGAAAATTTTTCATCTTTTTCAGCTCGTAATTTTGTTAATGTAAAAATTACCAAACTCACAGAAATTCAGAAAATATAGTAACCTTTCGAAAATAAAGATTTCAAACTTCAAAACTTTTTTTTTTTTTAATTTAAATTTCGTTCATTTTTGACAAAGATATTGTATATACAATTTTGAATTAAAAAATATGAAGAAATTTTTCCCCGACACAATATTTAATTAATTAATTATTAAATAAAGACTGCCATAGTTTTAGGACATCAGGGCAGGTGTACTTGTCTTTTTAATAAATGTCTTTTTAATAATATTTATGGCAACATACATGGTATTTAAAGATTTGAAGAATTGCCATATCAGAAACTGTTTGTTATTTGTAGTTTTTGTTATTAAAACATATTATTTGGAGATATTGTGAATCATATTTTTCAGTTAATTACAAGTGGATTTTGTTCGTGACTATAAATATATCAGAGTACGAGTTTGAATATCGCCACGTGTTTCTCCAGCATTTTCCACAAGAGTCCTCGATTTCATCTGGGTCATGTCAACGCCGTTGACTCCGTCCTGACAGGACAATACATCAGGATTGATAATGGCGCGATCCAACGTGCATTTTACATCTCTTTCGTTCTCTCTCTTCCCTGTTCTTCTTTTTATCCACACATTTATTTCCCGCCCAACCGGTGAATGCGTTGGAAGTTTTTTGTGAGATCCCGTCGGCGTATATTGTTCTATCCTGTTTGATCAATGCGTCGAGGGATTCTATTTTCTATGTGACTCAACCTGATTGCTTTGTCCTCTAAAAAAATGTCAAGTGGGTCGATCGATCGAATCAATTTTAACGAAAACTCAAGAGTTAATATCGACTCTCTTCTTGTACGTCATTAATTCTCATATTAATATGAGAGCAAAATAAATGAGTATGCATAACACTGCATTTTTATTTTTGTAACGAAATTGTAAAGTTCATTATAAAATAGGAAATTGCTGATAGATTTGTATTTCTTTCATCGATATTTGCCCAACTGGGTTAGATTTTACGTGATGTTAATTGGAGTGAAAACGCGATTATCTCGTATGTAAACAGAAAATGATATCGTTGAAGGGACCAAACGCGTAATTCGACAATGTGGGACGTAGTTTGATCTATGTATGTGGCACACCGACCGCACTGTTGCAGTGTGCCGTAATTCCACGTGCGGAAATGGTCGTCGAGTGGTTGAATGTTGTAACTATTATCACGGCGAAGTTCGAGATTGTGGGAGTTCGAATGCGTCTTACAAGGGAACCACACGATTAAATTCTGATTTTAATTAAACTTTACATATATACATATAGGTTAGATAAAAAGAATGAATTTAGAAAATATTAGTTCCGCCGGAAAAACGATTTGAAAAGGTGAAATCATCTCTTATAGATAACGCGGGTTTTAGCTTTTTTCATTGTATCTTAAAAACTATTCGAGATATCAAAAAATGTTCTACACAAAACTTTTATACTAAAATTATGTTTATTCACGTCAATAATATTTTTGAAAAATAAAAAAAATTTCCTTTTAATAAAAAAAAATTGTTTATTAAAAATATTATTGACGTAAATGAATAGAGGTAATTTTGTTCTAAAGCTTTTGTATAAAACATTTTTTGATATCTCAAATAGTTTTCGAGATATAACAGAAAAAGCTCTCTGAAAACCGCTTTACCACATACAAGGGGTGATTTCATCCCTTCAAACCGTTTTTCCGCCGCAACAGACATTTTCTGAATTCATTTTTTTATATAATCTATATGTAGGATACAAAGTTCCATTAAGATCAGAATTTATCACTTCGTATAATTCTCTTGTTAGATCAATTACGATAAATCGGCAGGTCAATAATAATCACGTATGCGTTTCAACGAAATCAGATTTAGTTGATTTGAGAAACATTTAATGAATTTATTCTAATCGAAGACGACGAAGTATCAAAAAACATTATTGTGATATAAAAAATTGCGCAAAAAAATTAACGTTTTAGAGAAATATAAACATCTAAAAATCAATAATCCTATGAATTTAATCATTTTAAATTATTAAAATTCAATTAAGCGAAATTTAAACTTGAACAAATCTTAAAGAACTTATGAAAAGGTAAAATGGTACTAAAAAGACTAGTTAGAATTGGACAAATGTAATAACGAATAAAGCGAATTTCAGCGGCTTCATTACTCAGCGAAATCTAGATTAAAAAACGTCTTTCAACACGATGGCGTTTCAAGATTCGTTTAGTCCTCAGCGGTTTTATTCGTAAAAGCAAGGAGATCTCGACGGAATATAATTAACACTAATGGCTGCTTCATCATAAGCGAAAGAACTACTTTCAAATCCTTTCCGTCTCGGTAGAAACATGATTCTTCGAAAATGAACGGAAAAGATTGAGACGCGAGAGCCGCAATCTCTCATGAGAATAGAGCATCCACTATTCTGTTGCATAGTACCGGAAGAAGCTTTGGCATGGTAATCGCATTGGGTCAAGTCAAATCCGATTTCCTATCTCGACTAATGAACGAAGTGGGACTTTGTTATAGTAAAGTCCTTGCGCAATTTGAAAATATTCATTTTATTTTTAAATTGATTTTGAGAACTCGTGGAAGAAACAGCGTATATAATATTTTATCACCACACACACACACACACACACACACACACACACACACACACACACATCACATCAAAACTGTGCGCGCGCAAATTAGATCCATTAATATTTATAAAATGCATTTATATTTATTTCGCGGTATGTGTGCGATTGCCTTACATTTTCTGTTACTGCTGGCTAAACATATATTTAGGATATATTTTTGAGATTACAAGATAGTTTTAAATCTACAAATACATACATAGAATAAGCGAATCTTTCAAAAAGACATTAATCGAAGCACTGAATCTTTCTCTCATTTTTCATAAAAAATAATGTTACATTTAAAAGTTGACACAATATGTTAAAAAATAGAAAGAGAGTAGTGAAAAGTAAGAAAAGAGAAAAAGAGCGAAAAATTTCCAAAGTTCCACTTATCGATCTAATATTGTTTGCATTTCACATTACTTTGAGAAAATATTACACTACATCCAGCACTTTATTTTCTCTGCTCCCCCATTAGCCTTCTGTTTTTTCATCCTCAAGGATATTTTCAAAGACAAAGAATCGCTAAAGAAATTGACATTATTGTACGCTGTTGTGACCATTAATATTATCATCTTTGCTGTAAAATATTTTTATTTTATTACATATTTTATCGAATGATTAACTGTCGTTCTCCGTTTACACACAGTTTCTTTATTATCTTTCAACACACTTTTGCACCTCTTTCTTTTGATGGGTATTATTGAAAAAATAATGATGCGAACTATTATTTAGAACATTTGATAAAAAGTTTCAATCTACATCGTAATTGAAATATTAGAATTGAAGAGTTCGAAGAGTTCCTTGAACAATTAGAAATATTACTAAAATAAGTGTACGCGCTACGCAGTAGATATTTGCTTTACAGAAACATTAATATAACACAAAAATTGAATTTCGAATTAAAATAAATTTATTAGTTTTGTAAATGTATTTATCAAATCATAGTAAAAACATAAAATATTGAACAGATCGATGATGTATATGAAGATGATATTATGAATCAATATATAAGAATAATTTATTATCGATCTAACCTTGATAAAATTTTTAACGCAACCAATGTAAAGCAATCTATGGCTTGCTTCATGTTGGCATTTTCAGTTAATCGAAACGATTACAAGTTGTATAGAATCAGGTATAACAGTCGATCAGTAGCATTCAGTATATCATAAGTCTTTAACGGTTGCGTTAAATAATTTACGTTATGTGCTAAACCGATGGAGGAATAATGTTGTAACTTTGAGGGAAGCTAAAGCCATCGAGATATTGTATTTCGATATCAAAATAAGAAATTAATGGCGTTGAAATGATACGTGTAGAAGTCTACTTAAGTAAAATAGGACAGCCCTCGTTATAAGTGGCAAGTTCGGCATGAACCATCATATCGTGGTTAAGATGATTGATCGTTTCTGTTGAACACGCATATCCAAATAAATGTCGAAGATAATCTCCGAGGAAGGAAGAGGAAGCATCTCAAATGTGACAACGGAGGCGAGAAAAAAGGCAACGATGAAGCGAACTAGGAAGAAAGAAGATTGAACTTAACTGGGGTCAAATTGACTCTAGTAGGGAGTCCCTGCATTCAATATGGCGACTTCCTAATAGAGTCAGGCTGACTCCTTTTAAGACGTTCACCAGATGAGGAACCGTCTTGCAAAAGTACCTGGTAGCGTAAGCTTTATAAACAAAGTTAAGGCTATTTTAGTTATAAAGCATCATTTTAATTAATTTAATGATACGGAGTGTCGTGAGTGATTTGAATGTACCAATTTATAGAAAATATGGCATTGGAAGCTGATTTATAGAAAATGTGAATGATCGGTTGGGTTTGTCACATAATATTAATTATATCAGTTCAGGAATAATGTCTCAGAATTTTTA